CCTAAGTTTATGTTAATGAGGCAACATTTGGAAAGCTCTGACGGATGGAAGCTGGTTGCCAGGGGAACGAAGCATGTGATTAAAGCGTTGGAACTTTCAGCCCCATCCCCCCTACCTCTAGGGTGGGGAGAGGGGCTGGAGGTTGAAGCAATCACCACCAACCAACGATTTAATCAGTCATGCCTATTAATGAAACCTCCGTAAAAACCTAAAAGGATGGGCTTCAGAGAGCCTCTAGGCTTCTGAACTTGTGGAGGTGCTGGGAGGGTGGGGCACCCAGAGAGAGCATGGAGGCCCCAGCCCCTTCCCACATAAACCTTGCCCCGTGCTTCTCTTTCATCTGGCTGTTCCTGAGTCTGAGTTGTATCCTTTGTAATAAACTGGTAATCTAGTCAGTAAATTGTTTTCCTGAGTTCTGTGAGCTGCTCTAGCAAATTAATCAAACCCAAGTTGGGGTGCAAGGGAACCTGATTTAGAGACCATAGGTCAGAAGCACAGCTGGTAACCTGGACTTGCAGTTGGCATCTGACATGGGGAGGAGGGCAGTCTTGTAGGACTGAGCCCTTAACCTGTGGGACCTGATACTATCTCCAGGTAGATAGTGTCGGAATTGAATGAAATTGTAGCATGCCCAGCTGGTGTCACAGAATTGCTTTGTGTGGGGAAAGAACCCACACCTTTGGTGACCAGAAGTGTCAGAAGTAGAGGACTGAGAATAGAGGAAGAGTTTTCTTCTGTGCCCCCTGCCTCTGAATCACCTGTTATTACCCCCATTGTGTAGATGGGGAAACTGAGGGGATAGTTGGGGCAAGAGAGGGAGAGGTGGTAACAGAGCATGACAGGAGTGAGGTTACAGGGAGAAGCCACTGGAAGGGAGTTGGGGAGGAGGGAATACATGCCTGGCCTTGCTCTCCTCCCACTCTCCAGTCTCCTGTTAGTGTCTTCCCGTGGGCAAACCTTGCTGGAAGCCTCAGGGCAAGCGTCTGGGGATGTGGTCTGCAGAGGGCAGTCTCCCAGGGTACAGAGAGAGGAACTGGAGTGGGTGGGTGGAGAACAACCAGCACATCGCCGGTCTCTTTGCTTCCAAGCTGTCCTTCCCTAGCCATCCCCCCAATGTAGCCAGAGCAAGGGGCCTTCAGGAGGAGCCGCCCCACCTCCTGGTAACGAGAGGGCCTGAGAGCCAAGGACAAGATTAGCATCCCTGTCCCCACTCCCCAATGAATCCTGGAGCCAAGTTGCTTTAACTAAACTCAGTTAGTTGTCTGCAAAAGTAGTTAGATAATGCATTGCTAAAACTCCCCCTACAGATAACATCTCTGACCATGGTAATGGGTGATTAAGTTTTTCAGGAACTAAGAGTCAACTCCTGTCTGGTTCAGGCCAGTCAAAACCACCAACCCACCAACTGGGCATGCACAGGTGTCTGATAGGTGAACTCCTGATGTCAGGGAACTAAAAACTCCACCCTCAGATCATGCCAACACCGCATTTAGTGAACATGCATCCTATGAATAGCAGTGAAGCTTGACTGCGCTTGTGCAGATCGTCAATAACCTCACTTCTCTTTAACCTCCAATCACCTATTCCCACACTTCAGACCAACCTGCTCCTTTACCCCATTAATATCCCTAATCCTCATTTTTTGGGGCGGAGGATTTGAGATTTGTTCTCCCGTTTCCACACTTGGCTGCCTTGTGAATAAACCCTTTCTCTGCTGCAAAAGCGTCATCTTGGTGATGAGCATAATTACACGGCAGGCAAAACAAACCTGGTTTGGTAACACCAACACACTCTCTGCCCAGCATCTGGAAACGTCTTTCCAAAAGATAAATCTGGCTGTGTCTCTCCACTGGTTACAACTTTTCAGGGAGTCCCTTTGCCCACTGCCCACCTTAGCAGCACAGTGGAAGCCCTTTGGACCCAGCCACCATCTATCCCTCACACTGCACCCCATCCTAGTCCCAGGGAATACTCGGCTCCTTCCTCTGTTCCTCAGGCCTCTGCTTCACATCATCTCTCTGGTCCCTTCCCTGACCTCCTGATCCAGAAAATCCTCCATGTCTGGCTTCATTTTCTTCATCAAGGTCTGCTATTAGCTGACTGTGTATTTTCTTACTGTCTCTCTTCCCATTCACTTAGTTTCAGTAGCTGCTGCATCCCAGCACCTAGAGCAGTGTCTGACGTGAAGTAAGAGCACAGGAAAGACTTGTCCATTCAAACACTGAGCGCTGGCAGGACACATCTCTGGTCCTTAAAGCCATGAAGCCGGATGGGTCCCAGCAATGGAGTGAGCGGGAGATGGGGAAGAGGCATAAGGACAAACCAGGAAAGGAGGCAGAAGGGGCCCTGAGATGGCAGGTGAGCCAGGGGAGTGTGAGCCCCTGGAGCCAGGTGAGGACTGTGTTCCAGGGAGGGGGCTGGTCAGTGGGTTCAAATGCTGCCCACAGGGGAAGCGAGAGGACGCCGGAGATCCACCATTGAATTTAGCAGGAGCATGGACAATTAGAGTTTTAGTGGAGTTTTAGTGCAGATGTCGACACAGCCTTACTGGAGTGAGCTCAAGAGAAAATGGGAGAAGATAAATTAGAGACAGTGAATATAGATAGACCACATTTTCTAGGTTTTTTTGCTAAGAAGAGTTCAGAAATCTGACAGTAATTGGAGGGAGAATTGTTTTCAGGAGGGTTTTTGTTGTGGCTGATGTTGTTGTCTTTTTTTTGTGTGTGAGAAAGATCAGCCCTGAGCTAACATCCATGCTAATCCTCCTCTTTTTGCTGAGGCAGACCAGCTCTGAGCTAACATCTATTGCCAATCCTCCTCCTTTTTTTCCCCCAAAGCCCCAGTAGATAGTTGTATGTCATAGTTGCACATCCTTCTAGTTGCTGTATGTGGGACGTGGCCTCAGCATGGCCAGAGAAGTGGTGCGTCGGTGCACGCCCGGGATCCGAACCTGGGCCGCCAGTAGCGGAGCACATGCACTTAACTGCTAAGCCACAGTGCCGGCCCTGATGTTGTTTTTAATTGTAGTGAAATACACATAACATAAACCTTACCATCTTAACCATTCCTAAGTGTGCAGTTCAGTGGCATTAAGTACATTCACATTGTTGTGTGACCATCACCACCATCCATCTCCCTACTCTTTTCATCATGCAAAACTGAGTACTCTGTTCCCAGTAAACACTAACTCCCCATCCTCATCTCCCACCAGCCCCTGACAACCACCCTTTTACTTTTTTTTTCACCCTTCTACTTTCTGTCTCTATGAATTGGACTACTCTAGGTATCTCACATAAATGGAATCACACAGTATTTGTCTTTTTGTGACTGGCTTTTTTCACTCAGAATAATGGCTTCAAGTTTAATCCTTGTAGCATGTGTTAGAATTCCTTTCCTTGGGCCTGGCCCTGTGGCTGAGTGGTTCAAGTTCTGAGTGCTCCACTTCAGCGGCCCAGGTTCATGGGTTTGGATCCCGGGCGCGGACATACTCCACTCACCAGCCATGCTGTGGCAGTGTCCCACATACAAAGTAGAGGAAGACTGGCACAGACATTAGCTCAGGGCGAATCTTCCTCAGCAAATAAAGAAAAAAAAAAAGAACTATTTTCCTTTTTAAGGCTGAATAATATTTCATTGTATGAATATACCACCTTTTTGTTATCTCTTCATCCACTGATGGACACTTAGTTTGCTTCTACCTTTTGACAATTGTGAATAGTGCTGCAATGAACATTGGTGTACAAGTATCTGTTTGCGTTTGTTTTCAATTCTTTGGGGTATATACCCAGAAGTGGAAATGCTGGATCATATGGTAATTCTATTTTTAATTTTTTGAGAAACTGCCCTACCGTACTCCATAGCAGCTGCACCATTTTACATTCCCATCAACAGTGCACGAAGGCTTTAATTTCTCCACCTCTTCACCAGTACTTGTTATTTTCTGTTTTCTGTTTTTTGTTTTCATAGTAGCCATTCTAATGGCTGTGAGGTGGTATAGTCATGCGTCACTTAACAACAGTGATAAGTTGTGAGAAATGCATCATTAGGTGATTTTGTCCTTGTGTGAACATCATAGTGTGTACTCAAGGGGAACAAAATTTGCCACCCCAAAATTTGTCTCTTTAACATGGGGATTATTTTAGGCTGATTATTTTCAAGAAACAAAAGACTCAGAAAGTTTTTCTTGTTACCTCCCCCTTAACTTCCTAAAAGAATTTAGATTAAAAAACCTGTCTCAGGAAGCGAGCTATCACCTTAGCATCACATGAACTGGGTGGCGGACAGGGAGGAACCTAGAAAAGCCTCTTTGTTGGGCTCCTCTCTGTGTTCTTCTATTTCTGTGTAGCCAGACACTTGTTTTCCAAATGTTTGCTCCTTTTCACCCACCTGTGAATTGCCTTCTTTCCCTTTGAAGTCCTTAACTCTCCTCACCCCCAGCATCTTCTTTTTTTTTTTTTCTTTTTGTGAGGAAGATCAGCCCTGAGCTAACATCCATGCTAATCCTCCTCTTTTTGCTGAGGAAGACCGGCTCTGAGCTAACATCTATTGCCAATCCTCCTCCTGTTTTTTTTCCCCTTTTTCTCCCCAAAGCCGCAGTAGATAGTTGTATGTCGTAGTTGCACATCCTTCTAGTTGCTGTATGTGGGACGCGGCCTCAGCATGGCTGGAGAAGCGGTGCGTCAGTGTGTGCCCGGGGTCCGAACCCGGGCCGCCAGTAGCGGAGTGCGCGCACTTAACCGCTAAGCCACAGGGTTGGCCCCCAGCATCTTCTTTTGTCTTCAGCTGAGGATGGTATTTAAGGTGAGGGCTTCAGCCATTTTGGTGAGTTACTCAGTTTCCCTGGGTTTCTCCCATGTATACATGTTATTAAACTTGTGTTTGTTTTTCTCCTGTTAATCTGTCTCATGTCAATTTAATTCTTAGACCAGCCGGAAGAACCTAGAAGGGTAGTGAAAAATTTCTTCCTCCCCTACAGTACTTATAGATGGTACAGCCTACTACACAGATGGGCTATATGGTAGTAATCTTACGGGACCACTGTTGTATATGCCGTATATCAGTCCTTGACTGATATGTTGTTATGAGGTGTGTGACTGTATGTTTTTTTTTTTCTTTTTTTTTTTTGCTGAGGAAGATTGGCCCTGAGCTAACATCCATGCCCATCTTCCTCCACTTTATATGGGACGCCGCCACAGCATGGCTTTGACAAACGGTGCGGCAGTGCGCGCCCGGGATCTGAACCTGCGAACCCCGGCCAACAAAGTGGAGCGCGTGCACTTAACTGCTTGTGCCACCGGGCCAGCCCCTGTACGTTGTTTTTTATTTTATTTATTTATTTTTTTTATAATTTTATTTATTTATTTTCCCCCAAAGCCCCAGTAGATAGCTGTATGTCATAGCTGCACATCCTTCTAGTCGCTGCATGTGGGACGCGGCCCCAGCATGGCCGGAGAAGTGGCGCGCCGGTGCGAGCCTGGGATCCGAACCCGGGCCGCCAGCAGCGGAGTGCGTGCACCCAACCGCTAAGCCACGGGGCCGGCCCTGCACGTTGTTTTTTAAATGGGAGAAATATCAGTATGTTTGCGTGCAAACAGGAAAGATCCAGGAGACGAGGAAGCTGATACCAAAGGAGAGAGAGAAAAGAGTTGCTGGAGCAATGTCCTTGAGTTGGGAGAGATGCTAAGACCCCGTGCAGATGTCCTTAGCCAGCAGCCTGGGTGTTTATCCCTAGTCACAGGGCAGAAGGCTGAGGATCTGGGCACAGATGCAGGTGGGAGGGTACACATGGTCGGGGAGCCAAGGATGTTCTCTTGTGTTTATTTTATCTTCTCAGTGAAACAGGCAGCCAGGCAACCAGCTGAAGGTAAAAGGGGGTGAGGTCAGAGGCTTGAGGAGAGAAGAGAGCAGGTGAAAGAGTCTGTCTAGGGGGGTGAGAGAGTGTGTGGATGGTGGGGGTTGGTAGGCTGGATAATGGCTCCCACAAAGATGACAACATCTGAATCCCTGAAATCTGTGAATATGTTACCTGGCAGGATCTTGAGATGGGGAGATTATCCTGGATTACCTGGTAGGCCCAATGTAATCACACGTATCCTTATTGAGAGGCAGAGGGACATGTGACTATAGAATATACTACACTGCTAGCTTTGAAGATGGAGGAAGGGGCCACAAGCCAAGGAGTGAAGGTGCCTCTAGAAGCTGAAGGCAGGGAAATGGATTCTCTCCTAGGGCGTCCAGAAATAGACTTTCCTCTATAGCCTAGCAGCCCTGGCGACACCTTGATTTTTAGACTTCTGATCTCCAGAACTGTAAGAGAATGAATTTGTGTCATTTTAAGCCACTAAGTTTGTCTGGTTTGTTACAGCAGCAATAGGAAACTAGTACACCAGGAAGGGGGGAGGTGGACGTGCTGACTGCTGGGCGGCACCAAGGACTCCCTTAGAGTTTAATGATCATGAAATTAAGTGAGACCTGCCAGCATGGTTGACTGTTTTCAATCCTGCCCTGTACAGGTGCACAGGTGCAGGTGTGGCACACACAGAGAGCTAGATTTAACCAGAGAGAGAACAATAAAGGAGGAGAAAGACCAGGGAGTGGAGGTTGAATGCAAGGGACAAAGTGATTGACCATAGTGTTTGTGCCAGATAAGACAGGAGAGGCTGAGGGATGGTGGGATCAACGGATTGCAGGTCCCAGAGAGGAGAAAGACAGAGGACAGTGTTGGGTTTGGGGGTGGGAGGTGGGGGAAGCGGGATGCTGGAAATGGAGATTATGGTTGTGGCTATCCGTAATGACAGGGTCTAGGGCAGGGAGCGGCAAACTACAGGCCAGAGGCCAAATCCACCTGCTGCCTCTTGGTATAAAGTTTTATTGGAATACAGTCACATTTGTGGTGTAATAAGAAATATATTTGCTCTTTGTTCCTGGTTCCTGGCACAGAGCTCCTAAAACCTTTGGAATTTCCTGAGCGATGAGAGTGTTTTTTGTTGTTCATAAGGAGCCCTTTTTGAGCTGCTGAGGTGATTCAGGGTGAGGCCCCTAGAAAGTCTCAGGATGGGCTGGTCACCAGCCATGATCATCTTAAGGAATTTAGAATGGAAGCCTGACCTTTGCCTCTCTGTAGAAATTGTGTTTCCAAATGCTTTGGTGCAATGTTTAGTGGCTGTTTATTAAACTCTTTCTGAATTGTAAAAACAAAAACGAAAACAAAAACTTTCAGCCCCACCCACTGATCTTTGGGAAGAAGGAGGGGGCTACAGATTAAACTCTATAAAAACTCTTGAACAATGAGATTTGATGAGCTTCTGGGTTGGTAAGCATGCCAGGAGGGTGGGGCATTCCCAGTTCCAAGGGGACAGAAGCTCCTGCACTCGGGACCCTCCCAGACCTCACCCTGTGCATCTCTTCATCCGGCTGTTTGTCTGCATCCTTTATCACATCCTTTACCATAAACTGGTCAACATCAGTAAATGTTTCTCTGAGCTTTTTTTTTTTTTTTGTGAGGAAGATCAGCCCTGAGCTAACATCCGTGCTAATCCTCCTCTTTTTGCTGAGGAAGACCGGCTCTGAGCTAACATCTATTGCTAATCCTCCTCCTTTTTTTTTTTCCCCCCAAAGCCCCAGTAGATAGTTGTATGTCATAGCTGCACATCTTCTAGTTGCTGTATGTGGGATTCGGCCTCAGCAAGGCCGGAGAAGTGGTGCCTCGGTGCACGCCCGGGATCCAAACCCGGGCCCCCAGCAGCGGAGCGCACGCACTTAACCGCTAAGCCACGGGGCCGGCCCTCTCTGAGCTTTGAGAGCTTTCTAACAAATAACTGAAGCCAAGGGGGAGGCCATGGAAACTTCTGATTTATAGCCTGTAGGACAGAAGCACAGGTGACAACCGGGACTTGCAATGGGCATCTGAGGTGGGGGTAGGCTTGTGGGACTGAGCCCTTAACCTGTGGGATCTGACGCTACCTCCAGGTAGTGTCACAATTGAGTTCAATTCGTAGGCCACCTCGTCAGTGTCCGCTGAGAATTGGGGAATTGCCTGGTGTCGTAGAAAGCACTCCAGACACCCGTTCTTTGGTGAACCATCTGTGACTGCTGTCACGCTTCAACCGCAGGGTTGAGTAGTTGTGACAGAAACCAGAAGACACCCCAAGACTAAAATATTTACTAGGTGGTTCTTTACAGGATAAGTTTGCTGAGCCCTGGTCTAGGGTGTGAGTGGCTGAGACACGGTAGAAGACCAAACCATGGGAGGAGTGGAGGCCCAAGAAATGACCAAGAATGAAGATGGCCGTGCTGAGGGAGCGACAGTGAGCCGGGAAGGGGGGAGGTGGGGGTCAGCTGAATGAATTCACGGATCAGCGCCTCTCTCCCCTCTAGGCTTTTATATAAGGGACTCCCTTTGCCTACAACCTCTTCCCAGTCATATATTGTGGGAAACTCCTGCTCATGCCTCAGTGACAGGTCAGAAGTCATCTCCAGAACCCTCTCCTGACTCCCTGGCTGTGCCCAGGGCCCTCCTCTGTGCTCCCAGAGCCCCCGAGCTCATCTGTGCAGCTGGCGATGAGCCTCACAGGTGTCCCCAAGATTGGGGCCTCCTGGAGGCCAGAGCCTCACTCCCCTGAGGAAGGGGGCTGCACGTAAACAAGCAGATCTGCAGAGCCCCCACTCCAACCCCAAGAGCAGGCTGAGGAGATAGAGGTGACAGGGCATGTGATGAGGGCATATTCAGAGGCCAGCTGGTGGTTCTGGGCAGGAATCTGCCATCTTACTGTTCACAGGTCTGAGGGAGCAGCAGGTTCTCAGCAAGGGCAGCTGTTATGGGGGTGCTTCTGGGGTCCAGCCACAGCATGGCCTTGTCAGACTCCAGTGGCCATGACCCTATCTCCTCCTACACATTGGTGGCAGGCAAGCAGGACCATAGACAAACCCCCGCTCAGACCGAAAGCCAGAGCCAGGGGTCAACGTGTACAACAAACAGAAGGTTTATTTATAAGCAGGAATGCTGTCCAGTAACAGTGCAAACTCATTGTCTTGGCATCAACACAAGCCGGGGAACTGAGGCCACACCCAGAAAGGGTCTGCTTCCAACTCACCATGGCTTCCCTGCTCTGCTGGGGTGATGGCAATGCAGCCTGAGGTCCTCCCAGGACAGTCCACCAGGGGGCAGACATGCTCCATCGCCACACAGGGTCAGATGTGGGCAGAGACCCTGGCCAGTCCAGGCAGTGGATATCTGGATTCCAGGGTGGAAGCCTTTCTTGTCTCTATCGTAATGGCTGGACTCTCCTACCCTCCAAATTGCAGCTGCCAAGTTCAAGTCCAGTGGATTTTTTCAACAAGGAATCCAAGTACTTGGGACCCAACTGGCTTCTCAAGGAGTCCCCATCTCCCGTCCTTCAGGATCTGGTCAAGGCCACACTTGTCCACCCTCTGCAGGGTCTTAGGTGTGTGTCTGGGGGGAGCAGGCTGACTCTTTAATGGAGAAGAATCCTTTGGCAAGATTGTTGGCTTCAGCTGCTTCAAGCAAGCCATTCAACCCAACAACATGGCTACAGAGACCCGCAGCACACAACACAGACATACAGACACACAGACACAAGACTGGCTCTCAGCATCTCACATCCACTTAGGATCACAGTGGGCACAGTACCAAAGTGGCCCCATGACTCCCCTGGGGCTGGGCCTCCAGGAACAGTGGGAGGGGGTCAGGGAAAACAGGGGCACCCCCTCGGGAGGTAAAGGAGGAAGGTCCAGGCTGAGGTAGGAGGAGAGGATGACTGCGAGCCTCAGTCATCTCTGGTTCCCGAAATTCCCTGATAGGAGAAGGTGTGGCCTTGGAACCCACACCAGACAGCAGGGAGGAGGGGCTGGAGCTGGGGGGACCTGAAACAAAGGTCAAAGGCAGAGGATGCAAACTCTGAGTTTGGCTTTGTTGTGTGGTTGGCTTGTTTGCCTGCATGGTGCTTACTTTTTTAAATTTAATTGCCACATGTTAAAATTGGAAGATTTTCAGTTAGAGGTTTGCCATCTTGCCCAGACCAGGGCACGCATTCAGGCTGCTTGCCTGGACCCTCTGGGCAGCTGGTTGTCACACCATGATACAAGAGGTGGAACTAGCAGGAATGGATTTGGAGGTGGTGCTTTTCAAGGGTCCTGAGTAACTTGGGGACCGCCCTACAAGGGCTGTCACCCCTGCCTTGCATAGAACCATCTGATGGATGACACCCCCACCCCCGCTGGGACCGACTTGCAGTCTCAGCATCCAGGCTAAAGCACTGCCCTTTCTCCATGGATGACGCACGCACGCAGCGTCCCTCCTCCCCAGTAGACCCAGGGATGAAAGACTAAACAAGGGCTCCAGAAGCCAAGCTCGCAGGACTGGCTGGGGGGCAGCTCTCAGAGAGGCAGGGCTTGCCCGGGGCTGCCCAGCAGTCCCTGTCCAGCTAGCCTTCTGAGAGGGACGCACACTGTGACAGGAGAGGTTTTCCACGACTCTCCCTGCCTCATCCCTCCACCTGCAGGTGAGAGAAAGGCTGAGGCTGGAGGCCACTAAAGGAATTTGGCCCAGAAAGAGCCAGAGTCCTGGGGGTGGGGCCTAGAAGGACCAGGGATGGGCCCACCTTGGCTGTGACATGTCCCAGGCCGGCCTGGTTAATGATTTCATCCCGGCATCAGGCACGCCAAGGGGCAGGGGCTTCTCCTCTGGGTTCTGCTGCAGAGTCTCTGGAGCCCCCAGTGGGGACTGACACGGGCATTCCTCCTTGGAGAAGGGGACCTGCTCGTCCTTCGGGGAGCCTGAGGGGCTCGCATCCGTGTCCCCCGTCGTGGAGCTGGTCTGGGAGGGGCACTGAGAGCCGTGACCAGAGCTGCTGCAAACATTCACGATGCATGTGACGTTGACCTGCGTCCCGTGGCCGCCAGGGGAAGGCTCTGCTAAACACAGGATGGAAGATGGTGGTCAGCGGGGGTCTTGGAGTGGGGGATGTCTCCACAGCCTGTCTCTTGCCCAAGAGGCAGATTAAGACACCGATTAAGAGCACTGGGCCAGGAGCCTAGAGGCCACGTTCTAGCCCAGTTCTGCTGTATAACCTTGGGCAAGTCACTTAACCTTCGTGTGCCTCAGTTTTCTCATCTGTCAAACAAGAATACGCAGCGCAACTCACCCCACAGATGGGAGGAGCCAATCATAAAAAGCAGGTGAAGGTGCTCCAAGAACAAAACATACCCCCACAAAGAATCAGAGAAGTGAGCAGGCACAAGAAGTATACGCTACAGAATACTGGTCAAGCAACGAAGATGAATTACTTTCCCGTAACCACAGGAAGGCATCAGCAGTCCTGGCTACACAAACTACGAAAAGGCGAGAACCCACTGTCACTGGGTAATCTGTATGGAACCCCTCCTCTGTATGACAAAGAATCAACATCAAAGGGCTTGGACATTGTTCCCTTAGGGAGATTAAACACTGAGACTGAAGCAGGGTCAAATCCTCCCCCAGGAGCAAATCTTCCTCCATGTGGACCTGCCTCGAAGATTTCATAAACCTGGGGACTCCAGAATGGTGGTAGTTTGCCCTCATCACTGAGGCCGGGATGCCTGGAGCTTTGCAGCCTGACAATCCTGGGTTCAAATCCCTGCTCTGCCTCCATAAACTTGGCCAAGTCACTTAAACTACTGGAGCTGCGGTTTGCTCAGATGTAAAATGGGTGTAATGACGCTGCCCATCTCCTTGCAGGCAAGGATAACTCTGGTTCACTGCCATATCTCCAGAGCCTGCATGGCTCCTGGAGACGGGTGACACTCTCAACGAAGCTCGGGTTGAACACTGGCCCCAAATATCCAACCACTTGCTCTGCACCTCAACCTGAACTCTTGATTCCACCCCATCTCCTGTCCAACCTGTTCCTCCTCATCTCAGGTCACATCCCACCATTCACCCAGCTGCTCAGGCCCAAAGCCTTGGACTCATCTTTCTCTTACATCCCACATCCGATCCATCAGCAATTCCTGCCTGGTCCACCTTCAAAAGATACTTCAAGTTCACCACCTCCTGCTACTGCCCCAGGCAACCTCCATCCACTCCCACCTGGACCAGTGTGAACAAGCTCCACCTGTCTCCGGCATCTACCCCGCTCCTCTGCACTGTGCTCCCCCAGCAGCCAGAGCCAGCCCTTTAGAACTCGGCTGCTCAAAACACGACAGTCCTCACCAGGCCTACGAGGTCCTGCACGACCTGGTGTCTGTTGTCTCCCACCCCATCTCCTCCTGCTCTGTGATCCTGGCTGGGTTCCTTCCAGCCACACTCACCTACCTGCAGCTCCTTGAGCCCTCCAAGCCTCAGGGCCTTTGCATGTGCTGCTCCCTCAGCCTGGAAAGCTCTTCTCTATTTCCATGGCTCACTCCTTCCTTTCTCTCAGGCCTCAGCTCAAAGGCCACCTTCTCTAAGAAGCCTCCCTGATTATCCCCTCTAAAGATGTTCACTGTGTCCCATCCATCACTCCCTATGTCCCCATGTCCCTCTTCTGCTGTGATCTCCAGGGCAGGCCCCTATTTCTTCCCACTGTACAATCAATTTCCTGGGTGCTCAACTGTGTCTCCCCCACCAGGTCCTGAGCCCAGGGGGGTGGGGCCTTTTTGACTGGTCCCTGCTGTGTCCCTAGTGCCTATAACACGGACACATGTGAATGAATAAAACCAGCCCACAGGTCTGTTTTGTTCTTGGTGGTGGTGTTTTTAAGTGAACTGGCTGCCAACACTTAAAATTCAGGAGTTTACATTTTTAAAATGTGGATTTATGGCTTCCGTCGGGAGCCAGATGAGGGAGATGTGGCCACGGAGGGCCCACATACCTCAAGGCAACTGGCAGGAAGGGCTACAGGGCGCCGGTTCACTCCCACCTTCCCGCCCAGTGCCTGTGGGCACCTGAGTTCCTAACCAGCTGGTGAGGGACTAAATGATGGACAAGCCTGGAGATGAATGGAAGGGGCTGGACACCCAGACGCCCCTCAAAAAGCCGTAGCTGCTGCTGCTGGCACTGCAGGGACCTGCTGAGTGCCCAAACACGCATGGTGTCCAGGGTGTGTGGGAGGGCCAGTCGCTAGTGTCCAGTCCAGTTTGTTTTCCAACTCCAGGGAAGCCTGGGAGGAGGATGGAGCCAGCGAGCTGCTCTGCTCAGACAGCCCCAAGCAGGCCGGGGAGAGGGAGGGCTGAAATCATGGGGCTGGAAGGAAATTTCCACCCTGAGCCTCCACCGCACCCAAATGTCACCCAAAGTCACCACAGCCGTTGCACATCATGAATGAGATACTGCAGGGGCGGACAGGGGGACCACAGCCCCAGGGTTTACCCGCTGCCACAGCAGAGAGAGGTGTTGGGGTGGGAGGGAGAGAAGGGAAGAACAGAGGCCAGAGACCGGTGAGGAACAATCAGAAGGGGCAGAGGGGACAAGGGGTGGGCAGACATGGTCAGGGGTGCTCACCGGGGCCAAGGATGAAGCCACACCAGGTCGGCTGTGGAAGTGGTGTTGCTAAGAAATTGGAAGATGAATCCAAGAGTTGGACAAAGACCAAGAATTTATGTGGAGCTCATTCAGTCATTTGACAAACATCTAGGGCCACCTGCTGTGTTCCAGGCACTGACCCAGTCTCTTCCTTGGGGAGTTCTCAGGATGGGGGTCATTGACAAGACACCACACTGATGAGGGTGGGCTATGTGGGGATAACAGAGGTGGGCCACCTCAGCCCACACGGAGGAAGCAATCCTTGAGTCAGGTGACAGGTAGGAAGGGGTGTTGCTGTCCCGCCAAGGAGGTGCCCTGCTCACCCCTGGATGAGGAAACTGAGGCTCGGCGGGGTGAAGGAGACTGCTCAGATTCTCAGGGTACCAGAGCGGCCTCAAGGGCATCCGGGAATGACCTGAGTCCACGGCCATTCCTTGACCTCCCGCCAGCCAGTACTGCCAGGTGAGTGGGAGAGACTCGAGCCAGCGGACTTGACCCCTCACTACAACACACACTACACACTACGAAACACAACCAACTGTGGACACTGGAGCTGCCCACCAGGGACACTGTCACAGACCAGGTCCAGGGCAAAACGCAGACTGCATGAACAAGGCGTGGGCTTCTCCAGAACACACACGGTCCCCACGATCCCGGAGCCTCAGGCCCAAAGGGACTGGGCAACAGGCCACAGGGAGGGGAGCCCCGGAGACATCATTTAGTCACTCAGCTTTCTGCCCCAGGGCTCTGGAGCCCAACAGCCCAGGGGTGATTCCTGGCTCTTGCTTTTACTAGCTGTGTGCCCTTGAACAAGCTGTTTAAACTCTCTGGGCCTCCACTCCCTCATCTGTAAAATATAATAGGAATCAACATAATAATATAACACTATAATAATATATAATAAATATTATGTAATTACAATATATAACGACATAATAATATAACACTATTATATAATATACAGGAAAATTCACTGCCTGGATATGGGGGACTCGAAGGACTGGAAGAAGTCCGCGGCTCAGTGCTGCACGTGAGGGGGCGGAGGGAGATGAGGCTGGAGGGCGAGCCAAGGCTAGTCATGGGGGCTTCGAATGCCTTGCCAGAAGCTCGGGCCCCGTCCGGCAGGGGAGGGGAGGAGGGGAGGCCCAGGAGAAGACGGCTAAGACAGAAACCAGGAGGAAACAGGAAGAGGGCGAGGAAGCTGGCTGCGCTCCCACCTCCTACCTGAGCTGCTGGAGCTGGCCCGGGCCTCCCCAGACCCGCTGGCCTTCTGCGTGCCTGGCGCCTGCAGCTGGTCCCCGGCAGGCGCCCTCTTGTCCGCGGCGCTGGCCGAGCTCTCCAGGGAGCTGCTGCTGGAGCTCTGCGCCGCCGTCAGCAGGTGCTGCTGCTCGGGGCCCGGAGCACCTCCGGCCTTATCAGCAGGCAGGTGAGGCTGGATGGAGAGGAGAGGAGAGGAAGGAGAGCCGTCAGCACATCAGCCAGCTCCTCTTCCCCTCTTCCTTCTCACCACCATCTGCACCCCATGTCACGGCACTTCACAGTTTACACGGCACTTCTGCACACACCCGCACATTCTTTCCACACACAGCGCTTCCAGGACCTGTGATTCTCCGTGGTTTCTGTGATTAGCATCTGGCTGCCCAGCTGGAGTGTGAGCCCTGTGAGGGCAGGGGCCAGGTGGCCCTGCTCACCAAACAGTCGTAGAGGCAGGGCAGGACTTTCATCCTCATTTTGTATAAGGAAACAGAGGCCCAGAGAAGGAGAGTCACTTTCCTAAGATCACCCCATCAGCACAGCGTGATGCGGCCCAGCCTAGCAGCCAAGAGCAGACTCTGGAACTAGATGATGTGGGTGCAAATCATGACTCCATCACTCACTAGTTGTGCGACCTGAGACAAGTTACTTAACCTCTCTGTGCCTCTATTTTTTCATCTCTAAAGGGAAAATAAAAACCTACGTCCTAAGGGTTGCTGTGAAGATTAAACGGCTGGATATTTGTAAAGTGCTCAGAACAACGCCTGTTCCATAGTGTGCTCCACACAATGGTTTGTTAGGTCGAGGGTAGGCAAACCACTGCCACGAGCCAAATGCAGCCACTACTGTTTTTGTACAGGCTGCGAGCTAAGAATGGTGTTTACATTTTTGAATGGTTGAAAAAAAGTTTTAAAGAATAATTAATTTCATGACACATGAAGTTCAAGTTTTAGTGTCCATAAATGCAGTTTTATTGGAACACAGCCACTCTCAGTTGTTTCTGTACTGTCTGTGGCTGCTTTCCTGCTGCAATGGCAGGTTTGAGTAGTTGTTACAGTGGCCATATGATCCCAAAAGCCTAAAATATGTACTATCTGGCCCTCGTGTTGAATCAATCAATCTCATGCAGAGATCCCTTTTATTTGGGATCCTCAGCCAGGCTGTCTCAGCAGCTCTTTCCAGACTCGATTCCCCACGCTGCTCTGTGACTCCTCATATCTTTTTCTCATAGAAGAACATAAACAATAACAACAGCAATAATAATATTAGCTGACATCTGAGTTCCATCCAATGCCAAGCAGTGTGCTGAAGTCCTTCCAAGACACTATATTGATCCTACCAACAGCCCAGTGCTATCCTTGCCTTGCAGATGTGGAAACCGAGGCCCAGAGAGGTTGAGTGACTTGCACAAGGTCACACAGGTAGAACATGGTACAGCAGGGCTAAAACCCACGACACCTCTCCTGGGTCTTTGGGGTTGCAGCTCTAGAGACTCAAGACAAGGTGCCCATTTCCAGACCCCGTGCTGGGGAGCACCTGGATATTCCACTTGAGGCTGGTGCCTGTCCACACTAACTGAACAGGCACACAAGCCCCTGCCTTGGGGTTCTGGGTGATGGCTGGATCCCAGAAAGGGGATGGAAGGGGCCACGTTCTCATCTGCTGCCCTGGCCTGCCCAGGACGAGAGGGTCGGGGGCAGAATGAGAACGGAGGTGAGTCAAGGGCTGGTGGGACACGGCCTAGCATGGTAGGGGGCAGTGAGGGTCACAGGGTGGGCGTTTGCTATGGGGTTGGGGGTCGTGTTAGCCGCCCCTCCCCAGGAAAGGGTGATTGGCCTCGCTACAGAGGGAGCTACAATTCCAGGTGCGCTCTGAGTAGCGGCTGCTCCTTCTGGCCAATCACTGCAGCCTCTCGGCCACCTGCCCCGCCCACCATGGCTGTGGCCTCTGGACACTTGAGCCGGCCTCAGCCCTCAACTCCCTGAGGCCAGAATTCAGCATGTTGGGATCCTTTGCCAGCTGTCCCGTGAGGCCATGGAGGCCCAGAGAGGGTGAGTCTGGGGCTCAAGATCACAGAGCCGGTCCGTGGTCGGGGCAGGACAAGCCCAGGTCAGGGTACCAGAGCTGCCTGCTTCCCACTGCATCCTGCTTCCCTGGCTTACGGCCACCAGTTTGGAGGGATGGAGGGGATTTCAAGGTCTGGCCGAGCCTTCGCCCAGGTGGTCTGACCTTGGCAACTGGCCCCCACCCCCAGCCCTGCTCTGAGCTTGGACAAGCGGGGGAGGGAGGGAGAGGAGGGGCATCCAAATGTCATTCCTCAACCCCCAGAGAAGGGGCTTTTCAGGCCTGTGTCCCGCTTCTCTGCTAGCGAGGGCCAGGCAGAACAGAAACCCCCAAAGGTCACAGCCTGCCTCGCTCCTCCAAAGCCACAAGTTGTAAAGTTCAGGCAGGCTCTGAGTGGGGCAGACGCATCCTGAGTCCTGTTCCTTGGTCTGTGACCACTGTAAGGGGGAGTACCAAGGGGGCTCATTCAAAAACAAGATTCAGCCAGCCAGCCCCTGTCATGGCCCAGCCCGGCCATGGGCAGAAGCAGACACCCTGGGGAGCCACCAGCTGGGTCTTCCAGATGCCCACAGCGTCCATGTCTGCCTGTGTGTGCGAGTGTTCACGAGGCCCACACACCTGTATGTATAGGTGTGAGGGTGTGTGCAGTGTGCACACACGCATGTCTACATGTGTGGGCGCATGTGTGCATGTCTGTGAGTGGTGTAGTTAGTGTACATGCTGGGGGTGGTGAAGAGAAGCACTCTGAGGTTTGTGTCCCAGGCCACTCGCATCAGCTGTGTGACCTTGGGAAAGTTACTTAACTTCTCTGAACCCAAGTTTCCAGGGCCATAAAAGTGGGGCAACACTCATTGCCTGTGTTGTAGCACGGCTGTGAGGCTAAACAACGCTCAGTACCGTGACTGGCATACATTCAGCTCCTCCTAAATGCTCACTCTCATTATTAAACGTTAGCCCGTGCATGAGCGTGTTTGTGCGGAAGACTGTGGATGAGCCCACATGTTTGGATACACTGGCCTTTTCTAAAGAAAGAGGGCCGGCCCCATGGCTTAGTGGTTAAGTGCGGGCGCTCCGCTACTGGTGGCCCGGGTTCGGATCCCGGGCGTGCACCGATGCACCGCTTCTCCGGCCATGCTGAGGCTGCGTCCCACATACAGCAACTAGAAGGATGTGCAACTATGACGTACAACTATCTACTGGGGCTTTGGGGGGCAAAGTAAATAAATAAATAAAAAATAAAGAAAGAGAAGCCACTGTCCCGCCGTGCCTGGAGGGACAGGGCGGTGCTGATGACTCACCACTCTCTCCACCCCAGCGTTACCAGGCAGCCTCTTAGCAGGGACCTCCAGCCAGCGGAGGAGCAGAGTGGGATGCAGGCTAAGCAAGCAGGCAGGGGAGGGCACCCAGGGACTGCAGGGCACCTGGGAAGGGGACAACCTCTGAGGGCAGGCCCTGCCAGGGTTGGGGGAGCGTGGAGCCGCTGTGAATATCTGCCCTGGGAGAACCGGAAGGTGGGTGAAGGTGAAGCCTGTGGGCTCAGACTGAGTCTCAAACCGGGGCTATGCCACTTTCCTAGTGCTCCAAGCTTACACAGGCAGCTGAACCTCCCTGAGACTCAGTTTGCTCATTGGTAAAATGGGGATGAGGATACTGCATCCTCCAGGGGTGTGTGGGGATGCGGTGCCACAGCACAGGCAGAAAGCCGGGCATGGGGCTCAGCCAGCCGTGTGCTGGATCCAGCTCAGACCTGTACGTGCTCTGCCCCACTCCACATTCAGTAAGTTCTGGGGAGCCTGAAATTGGCCACGGTGGGAGTTCTTAAAACAGAGAAATGAGCAAACACCACGAATCTGGGTTGGGGTTTTTTCCCCACCCGGAGGGCCAGTTACCAGCACACCACTGGGCTCTACACACAACAGTACTCAACAAATAGTAGTTGAGTTGCTCACACTTAGTAACCGCAAGACTGAGTGGAGGGGAAGAGGAAGCAGGGGCTGCAGGGCCACACCCAGGACATCTTGACTGCACCGAGGATTGGGAAACACTCGGCTGGGAAACAGAATGTGGTAGCCGGGCTGCCAAGGTGGAGCCTGGAGGGCACACTTGCTCCACGTGCCACCAGGCAGCAGCCGTCAGCATCACTGAACCGAAACCAGACGAAGGAAGGGGTGGCATTTGCCCCCTGGGAAAGCGAGAAATGGTTTGAACTCCCAGACCGTTTGTGTTGATGTCTGCTGAAATACCAGAGGGCAGGTCAAGGGGCACTGTGCCACGAGTCCAGAGACAAGTCCTCAGGCAAGTGTGTGACCATGGGCAAGTCACTTTCCCTCTCTGCACCTCTGTCCTTGTCAGCAAAATCAGGAGATGAAATCGGTCTCTGGTCCCCACCACATCCAGAGCCCTGTGCAGGCCTCAGGCCCTGGGCCACCCAGGCTGAGCTCTTCCCTAGCACAGCGGTTCTCAAGCAGGGGTGAGTCTGTCCTCCTGGGGACACCTGGCAATGTCTGGAGATGGTTTTGGTTGTCACTCCTGGGAGGCAGTGCTACTGGCGTCTAGTGGGGAGAAGCCAGGGATATTGGGGGACAGCCTATAATGCACAGGACAGCCCCCCACGACAAAGAATTATCAGGCCCCAAATATCAACATTGCTGAGGTTGAGAAACCCTGCCCCAGCAGGATGGGGGACATGGAGGGAGCTCCTCAGGCTCTGTTTCTTCATCTGTAAAATTAGGTAAAAAACCCGCCCTGCCTACCAGGTAAGGGGTTGCAGCAGACACTGTGTACTGGCTCACCCCACACCCATTTCCAAGCCCTCTCCCCTGTCCTCCTCCACCACAGAGGCTGCCCCTTTCCCGCCTCTCTTGCAGCTAGAGGTGGTCACATGACACTGTTCTGGACAATGAGACAAAAGGAGGAGTCTCCCGGGGGCTTCTGGGAAAGCGTCTGATTTCCTGATAAAAGGCACTATGGCTGGCCAGCCACTTCCCCCTCTTTTTCCTGCCTCAAACCCGGAGGTCACATGAAGTGGTGATCACCATAAGGCCACAAACAAGAGAACAAAAGCCAACACACTAAGAGATGGCAGAGCCTGGGGTCCTGCTGGCCTCAGAGAGGGATGTAGTGAACCACTCCAGCAGCCGTCAACCTCTCAACTTCTTGGCAGGTGAGAAAAATAAAGCCCTGTTGTTTTAAGTCGCCGATAAGTTTGCAGTTACTTGCAGCCAAATGCCTTCCTGATGGAGAATTGATGAAATACTATGTCAGTGTTCTGTTTCTAGCAAAAGTCCTCCACGGACCCGACTTTACAAAAAGATCAGAGGTGAGCTACTTTGGTTGAAGTGGGGGAGGACCCAGGGCCCTGCCCTCTAGCCTTCACCTCAACTCCAGAGACCATCTCCTTGGGCCCTCTGTGGAACACTGGGGTACCCCAGCGCTCAGTTTGCAAACCAGTGCTCCACGAGGACGTACTTTCTAAGCACCGCGGAGATGCTGAGGATTGTTGCCAGTTGAGTGAGTGGCACAGCCCTGCCAGCTGGGCTGAGCCGACGCTGTCCCCATTTAATGGTGGAGGCAACAGCCACGAGCAATTTCACATCTGCCCAAGGCCACACCATAGGTCCACGGCCACCTGCTTGCCACCGGCACCACCAACCCCCCTGCTCCCTGATGTGGCCTCTCACACTCACAGTCTCCTTTATCAGGACATGGAGGGCTACCTAACCCCCAAGGACAGACCCTGGCTGGCCTTTCCTCAGCCTCCCAGGGCTCTGCACACTGCCTCACACTGGACAGACCAACCTCTAGAATTCACTGTTTCCCGTGGAACAAACAGCCCCCCAGGAAGGAGACAGGCGAGGAGGCGGGGAAGGGCAGGGGGGCACTCACCACCTTGGCTTCTCCTTGCAGGCAGAAGCGCTTCTCTGGAAAGAGAGAGGGGACACGTCAGGGAGAGGGACTTCCTCAGGGCACATCTGTCCTAACTGGGAGGGCAGCATGGGGCCCAAGCAGAAGCAGCCAGAGCAGGCCCAGCCCTGCGGGGAGCGATTACCTACCAGACAAGGTACACAGAAGCCCCCACACCCACCTCTCCAGCTGGGCTGGCATTCTGCTAGTCCCCTCCACCACCCCCAACCATTCCGCCACCTCCCCGCCTTTGCTCACGCCATGCCCTCTGCTTAGCCCGCCCTTTCTTTCCTGCACACACTCCACCCATCAAAATCTTAGCCAGCTCAGATGCCAACTGCTCCAGAAAGCCTGAATCCCCAGGAGTCCTACACAAGAATCCTGGCCTCCCCCCTGGATAGCCCTGATGGCGTCTTGCCTTTCAGTAGATAAGCGAGTGGAAGCACCTTCCACCTCTGGCTCTAAGCACCTACAGAACAGGGACTGCCACGTCCAGCCCTGTCTGACCCATAAGGCTGTGCCCAGTGCTGGACTCACAGGAGGTGCCCCAGAAAAGCTTCCTGAACCAGTGGAGGAACGAAGGAATGGATGAAGGAAGGAAGGAATGGAATCTTACTTTTCTTCTGGGTGACGATGATACAGTTCACCAGCCCTATTACCAGCAGACCCAAGGCTGTCACACCCACGATCAGTCCTAGAAGGAAAAGAGAGGCTCAAAACAGCTGCAAAAAGCAAGATGTCCCAGGGGCCAGGCAGGTCAGTCAATGACCAAAGGTGGCTGGGGTTGTCACACGCAAGGGGTAAGCCCAGTTCAGAGGCTCTCAAGTTTCAATTCTAAAACAAACAAACCAAAAACTGTGTGTCGAACAGAATATGTCTGTGGGCCACAGTCAACCTGAGGCCACCAGCTTGAGCCCTCTAGCCTGATGGAGTCCTAACTCCAGGAGGGAAGCCCATGAGGTGACCTAGCCCAGCCCACTGTCTTCACAGCCTAACGGGTTCATCAGAAACAGCCATCTCCCCTGACCCCACCTCTCCCCACCCAGGGGTTCCTAGTGACAGCACTAGGTCTTGGGAGAAGACAAGTCTCACCACTACCTGCATCGCAGGACAGAGTACAGGGTCCAGCCCACAGAGGGCTCTCAGTAAGACTCCAAGACAGGAGGGAGGGCCCTCTTGTGACTTACCGATTGGAATAGAGATGTTCCCAGTGATGAGCCCTTCAGCTGGGGGGCTTGGAACCATTCGGGGCGGGAGGGAGGTGCTAGGAGCTGTGCTGGGCCCTGGAGTTGGCTCCGTGTGTTGGGGTCTTGTGGACCCTGGCTGGGGCACAGAGGCTGGCTCTGAGGCCCCAGACGTGCAGACTGCATCCATGCTTGCGTTGCCAGGGATAGCCACCGAGCTACACCTAGGGAGGAGGAGGCTTGGTCAGGGGGCAACAGAGGACTGAACGGCTCAGGGTGGCTGGGCTCACTGGTGGGAGCCAGGCCAGTGGGCAAGGGTCCCAGCAGATGGGATGGGGAGTGAGTATGTGTGCCACGCCCTCTCTCAGGACCGCCCCTCCCTGTCCCCACTCCTGCTCTCCCCAAGCTCCCCACCCAGTCTTGACTTCTAGGGCAAGGCTGCTGTTCACCGAGCTGTCTGTCCTGGGGCCCCCATCAGATAGGCCCGTTCTGGTATTGAACTGGGCTCGGCAATGCCTCAACCCAAGAGAGTGAACGGAGGGCTTTCAGGCCCTACAGCACGGCCGCTCTGTGCTCCAGACCCCCATAGTCACTCAGGGACAGCCCCTCCCTGCTCCTCCAGAACCAAAGGACTGAGCCACTCACTTCCGGTGGGGCCTGCAAGTATCTGTGGATGACGTCCTGTCAGAGAATGTCCCCGGGGCACAGGGAGCGCACACCACATTCGATGTTGCAGTTCCTTCAATGAAAAATTGGAACCTGTCACCAACTCAAACTCTCCGTGGAACAGGTGGGCCTTGACATTGGAGCCCTAGGGGAGGTCTGAGGGGCCCATGGACCTCTGTCTGCACCTCTACCCCTTAAAACACACACACACACACACACACACACACACACACATACACACACACACACACACAGCTGGGTGGAGTTTGTCTTTAACCAATTCTAGTGACTTCCTGGTCTCCAGGGTCACTTGGGTTCATCTTCCTGTGACATCACCTGATTTTCCAGTAGCTTAGGGCTTAATTTGATCCATATCTGGGCCTAGCACACAGTAGGTGCCTAAGCAGGAGTGCTGGAGGAAGGAATGAATGAGGGAAGGGTGGACAGATGGATGGCTGGTGAGCACCTGGCCGCCACTGACGATGTTGCCAGCTGGGCTAATGGGTTGATACCTGTGAAGGAAAGGCGCAGGGGGGCCCCCAAGGACCACTGGCCCTGGCCCCGTACACACCTGGTTTGGCCACACCGAAGCCGGGGTGGCACTTGCGCAGCGGCATGCACACCTGGCAGCCCTCCTGCCTTGGAAGCATGCAGTACCAGCCCGGCCTGCAGGTGCAGATGCGGTTCTGTTTCAAAGTACAGGCTTGAGTTTCCACCTGGTCTAGAGGAACGAGAAGGCAGCCCAGGGTCATTCCTGTCTTCACAGGCCCATGCCCACTCTGCCCTCCCAGCCGCCCACCACCCACAGAGAGCTCTGATCTCCGGCAGGCTGGTGGAACCCCTCAGCATGGGGCAAAAGGAACACTGGCCACGGAGCCCCAAGGCCTGCGGTCTTGCTCCAGCTCCATCACAGCACGAGAGAGCACACCTGCTCTCTGAGGCACGACTTCCTCAACTCGCAAATGGGCGGTCTTCCCACTGAGGCACTGGGCCCGCGGGGCTATGCGAGAGGACTCAGTGAGACAGAGGATGACAACGCCATGGGTAAACAGTAAAGAGCTGTACCCGTGCAACCTCATGTGCTGGGGCATAAAAAAACTGGTCTGGAGTAGTCCCAGCCAGCTTTCAGCCAAAGGGGCTGAAGTGTATGGTGCCAGGGGAGGATGCTGGGGACCACCCCCTCTCTGAGCCTACTCACTGGAGCCACAGCGGGAGCCACAGCTCAGGCACTCCGGGAGCCAGTTCCAGAGCTGGGTGTATGTGCTGTCCTCGCAGGGGACGCACACGGTATCTGAGGTCTCGTTGCAGGAAGTTTTTGCGCGGCAGCCTGAGAAAGCAAAGGCCAGAAGTCTCAGAGGGGTGGCGTGGGGCTTCTGCCAGGACCCTGGGCTCATCCACTGTTCCCCAGAGCCCCAGAGATCTGAAGCCTAGGGGGGAAGGCTCTTTGATGCAGCTCCAACTCCTCCATCGACTCATCTCATATCCAGCACGTACCAGCTGTCACTCCATCTCTGAACCCCCACTACTCATAAAATATCTTCCCCTCTGCTCTTTCCAGATGCCTGGAATTCCACTACTGGATTTGCCTGTTATTAGCCAATAACACTTTAGTGAGAACTGTTTTGCCAGCTCTTTTCTTCTTTAGAGTTGGCTAAAATTCTCCACCTGGGGGTATGAACTAGAGGGGAAAAAGGCAGTAGGAATGTAGTCCCTGGGGGACTCCTGAAGGCCTGAAGAGAAGGCATGCCAGGGGGTGGGAGAATGCCAAGACAAATATTTAAGAAGTTTCTTTTCTGAGCCCTGTCCCCATTCCTATCCTGCCATATTCACTGCTCTGCTAATCTAGTAACTTCTTAGAGACCCTGCCAGTTAACAGAAGAAAGAAGAGTCCCTTCCCCTGGGGTCTTTTAAAATGGCTACGGGAGGTGATGGGTACACATGGGCCCGCCCACATCTCAGGCTAATGGCTCAGAGCCCTCCAGTGGCTTCCTGGATCCTGCAGAATAAAAGCTAAGCTCCTTACCAGGGTCCCTGCCGGCTTACTTACTCAGTCTGGGCCACACACTGGCCTCGCTGTTCCTCCAGTTCACCAAACAGGCTCCCACTTCAGGGCCTTTGCATCTGCTGTTGCTCCTGCCTGGCATGCTGTTCCCTATATATTTGCATGACTCACTGCCTCACCTCTTGCATGTCTCTGCCCAAGTGTCAGCAGCTCAGACAGGCCTTCCCTGACCACCCCGTATAAAGCAACGCGTCCCACTCCGTCTCCATCGGCCTTACTCTGCCTTGTTTTCTCACCGCGCTTACTCTCTGACCTCTCCGATCATCTATTTCCTCTGCTGGTTTCTGTGTCTGTCCCTCTATTAGAGTGCAAAATCCATAAGGGTGAGGACTTTGTCTGCCCTGCTCTCTGTTGTATTCCTGGCACCTAGAACAGTGTCTGACACTTGGCAGATGCTTTATAAATAATATAGGGATGAATGGTTAAACGAATGAATGGATGGATGGCACCGGGAGTCGGGCCACCTAGCTCTCCCAACTGGGGCTGGGCCTCAGGTCCACCATCTGTGAAATAGGTAAGCACTCGTTGATTCAGTCAAATACGTACTGAGCACACACTATGTGCCAGGCACGGTGCCAGATGCTGGGGATTCAGTGGACAGCAAGCCCACAGTCCCTGTCATGGAGGAGCACATAGCAGCGGCAACAAAAAAGGAGACAGGCCATAACTGCAGTGTGACAAGAGCTGCTGCCATGGGGGATGCCAGGGGCCAGTGGGAGCTCAGAGGAGGAACCAGATCTGGCCAGGCAGTGTAGGCAGGCTTCCTGGAGGAGCTGGACATCTAAGCTGAGGTATAAAGGATAAACAGCAGGCAACCAGGGCAAGGGGAGTTTGGAAGTGCACCAGGAAGAGGGAACAGCATGTGCAAAGGCCCAGAAGCACAAGGGAGCATGGCGCCAATTCATAGAACCAGAAGGAGTTCAATAAGAATCAAGGGCCATAACCCTGCTCCCCCAACCCCAGTGCACACACGCTCCCTCCAAGGCACCAGCCCCCAGGGACCCAGCCAGTCTGAGGTCGGGGTCCCAGCGGCTGCCCCTCACCAGGTGGACACTGGCTGCAACGCCTCTGGGTCCTCTTGTCGTAGAATTCTCTCAGCTGGCACGAGCCGCTGGCCTCCAGGACAGAGTGGGTAAAAGCCATCTGGAGGGGGAAGGAAGGACAGCCATCAGCATGGCGACCGATGGAGTCTGCAGGCCTGACGCCCAGATCCCCATCCTGTGTCCTGCAGACGTTTGGCCCTCTTCCTGCTGAGGCTCTAGTGATCTGGGACTTCTCCATTTGGAGGGGATAGAAGTAGAAGGGAGAGTCCCTGCCCCCTTTCACCTCCTCCTCTTCCCCACTCAGTGCAACACACTCCTGTCTGCAGGGGGAGGCGTTGAGCTGGCTGGCAGGAGGGTGCATCCGGCTCCTAACCCTACATGGGTCAGATGCTGGGCCCCGAAGCTGCCCAGAAGGCAGTCGTCTTGGTCACAGAGAACCACAGTGCTCAGCGCAAAGCTGCCCTCTATGTAGGATGGCTCCCCTTCCCTCCCGCACCTGGCAATTGCCCCTTCGTCTTTCCAGCTGAGTGCTGCCTCCTCTGGGAAGCCCTCCCTGACTCCCCCAGGCTGATTCAGGTTCCTCTTCCTCTGGGCTATCTCTGAACGCTGGATATGGTCCCTTCTAACAATCACCTCACTGTGCTGACACGTGGTACCTACTGGTCCTCCTACCCAGCACGGGTGCATGTGCATGCACACGCACGCACACACCCCCCACACCCCACACACACACATCTGCAATGCAGAGGGCAGAAATGATGGCCTCGTCACCTCTAGACCCTCAGCTTCCAACATGGGCCCACGGTAGAGTTGGGGCCCATAGAAGACAATTTGTTGATGGCCATGATGAAGACAGTCGCCACTTCTCGAGCACTTATGGGGTGTCAGGCACTGTTCTGAGGGCTCCAGGTGCTTCAATCAGTGGAGGCTGTTGCACCCCACTCTGATCCCCTTTACCAGCAGGGCACCCATTTCCCAGCTGCCTGGGATGTTGCCTGATAATGGCTCTTGGCCTCCAGGTGAGACGGAGCCCCCCAGGGCTCAGGCTGTAGGAAGGCAGGTTCACTTTGCCTTCCCCTTCCCCCTCCACAGCACCACCCAGGAGTCCTGACCGCCAGAGCCTGGGGCCGCCGGGCTCCTGGCTGGCCCCTGCATCAAGGACATGCAGGCCTGGAAACCAGCTGCCTTCCCCGCTCGGCTTGGCAGGAAGCCCCAGACCCACCCTGGCCGCACGTAGCTTGGTGCCAATAGCTGGAAGCCATCGGGGGGATGACCCCAAGGAGCTGGGGTTTCCTGCTGCATAGCAACCTGTGACTCTTCTTGCCCCGCCCCTTCCCCTCCCTGTGCCCCTGCCTGAGCTGCCTCCTCCAGCTGGAACAGCCTCGTGCTTCCTCTAACAAAATTCCATTTGTCCCTTCTGACAGCAGCTTCCCCTGAAGGCTTCCCTGCCCACACCACACCCTGAATAATCACTCAGACCCAGAATCCCCACCTTCCTCTGTCAGGGCTCCTGGCATGCAGGGCTGGGCCCCCACTAGCTGGGCGCCCTATGAGGCTGCAGGCTGGGGGTGACTCTTCGCTATGACCCCAGAGCCTGGCATGTAGTGGGTGTCAGGGGTCGCTAATCTAAGCAGTGACATCATTACAATGTCATTTCCTGGAGGGGTCCGACCTCGGCCCCAGGGCCACGAAGCCCAAACACAGGTGCCCCCACCACGCTGGCCTGCCCCTGAAGCCCAGCCCCCACCCTGAGCCTAGGCCCAGACCCGGGGCCAAACCCCACGAAGTCAGCTCTAGTGAGGTTGGGAGAGACGCAGGTGGCTGGCACGGGAAGTGGGAACTATTCTGCATCACACAGAGCCTAAAAAGTCACTTCCATTCCCATCTGGACCATAAACTTGCATGCCCGTGGCTGCGCGTGCGAGCACACACACAAACACACTTAATCCCAGTCCTCCTTCCCACCCTGGGGCCTGGAGCAGGCTGCCAGGCGCCTGGACAGCAGGGTAAGCAAGGCCCCTTAGCAGGGCTCTTCACAGCTGGGGGTGGGGCTCACAGCCAGTGTCTGAAGCACCCAGGGGACCTGTTTCTAATGCTGACTCTCACCCCAACAAACGGGGCAGAAGCTCAGGGGGTGGGCCTGGGAAGCTGTGCTGTTAAAAAAAAAAAGAAAGAAAAAGAAAACGTCCCCAAGTGATTCTGATGCTTCACTGCTGAACATACCTGATTATCTGGCACCCATGGATGGAGCAAGATGACCTGGGCAGGGGACACATGGAGGAGACCCAGTAATCAAGGCTGGGGAGCTCCCAAACCAGAGAAATCGGACCTTCTGCAGCTGCCTTTGCACACACCACTCAACTGCGTATTAACTGTAGCGGAGGGCCTGACTGTCCCCCCACAGCCCCTCAAAACAGGCCTTCCCTGCAGGCTGCTGCTGTGTAGCTTCCCTGCTCTGCCTGAGTGCCCCAAGAGGCAGCCACCTCTCCCCTCAGAGGGCATCCCAGAGGGCGGGGGTGGGGGGGGCCTGCCCCTCCTTCCCTTGCAGCCCCCTGCCCTGCAGGGTGGCAGGCACAGGTCTCACGGACCCTGCACACCCTGGGCAGGGTCCCCCACCAGTACCCTGGGCAGTAACTAGGGGAGCCTTTCACTCATGCGGGGCCTGAGAACCACAGGGCCAGGGTGGCTCCTGTAGCCCAGGGAGGCTGGCCCCAGCTGGGGGCAGGATTTCCCGTCAGGCCCAAAGGGCCTGATGGGAAAGGGTCCTGCCTTGGCCAAATGCGGGCTCTCACTCCACCCACAGGCCAAGGGTTCCTGGACAAAGGCAGGCAGCTGGACCCCCACGGCCCCCAGGCCACCGCCAGCAGCCTGCCCTCCAGGGTCTTTTCCTGTCTGAATCTGGCTATGAATACCCTTCCCCACACTTCCTCCTGCTGCCCTGTGTGACTCCAGCCCCGAGCCGCCGGCAGCTGGCGAGGGGGTCAGCCCTCCCTTGAGCAATCTCGAGGCCTGTTTATCCTCTTGGACAGAAGAAAAAAAAAACCCACAGCCCCGTCATGGCTAAACAATGAGGAACAGAAAGCCCCTCCACACAGAACGAGACAAAAGGTCACTCCCTCCGCTGCAGCGATCCCAGAGCAGCGGCCGCCCGAACCACAGCCCTGGGAGCTGGGCCTCGGGTCAGCGCAGAGGCCACCCAGGCCGGGGGGCTCTGGAGGTCCCCAGAATGTGGCGAGCAGCCTCTGGGAAACGTGGGGCTATGGAAGCTTCCAGTTCCTTTGGCTGGTGTTGGGGAGGCTCAGATCTATTCACCACCCGCCCACAGGGGAGCTCTGACATTTTAAAATGAGGAAATAAAGCGGACAGCACTGGGTTCACTCAGCTTGTTCAGCAGACTCAGTGTTTCAAAATACAGGGTCCCCAGGTGAAAATCTGGAAATCACTGATGAGCGTCAACCACCCATTTAACAGGTGGGACATCTGTGATGCAGTGTGGGCAGTGGGGGGAGGGATTGGAGAAGATAGATGATGGATGGATGGATGAGAGAGAGAGAGAGAGAGAGAGATAGGTAAGAGAGGGAGGGAGGATGAGAGATGAAAGGAAGGAGGGAGTGAGGGACGGAAGGAAGACTGATCTAATATCCAATTTGTGAGGCAGGTCTGATTGTGCCCATTTCACAGATGAGGAAATGGAGATGGAAAGAAGCGAAGCCACCTCCCAGGGTCTCCCACAGGCTCTGGGCCATTCCAGGGCCTGGCTAGTGGCAGACTAATGGAGGATTGTGCACAGGAGGCCATCGGGGCCCACCCCTCACCCACCGCAGGCCTCGCAGCCACCTCACAGCCGCCTCACATCAGGGCCCGCAGCCCCACTTTCTCCCTTCAGCATTGGGCTCCCTCCTCCTAGGACAGAAAGAACCTGCCGTTAGGAGCAGCTAACATGTCCCCAGCACCTACTGTATCCCAGGAGTGACTGTGCATGCTAGATCCACTGTCTGATAGAGTCTCTTCACCAACACTTCACAGACGCTCAGAGAGGCGAGGCGACGTGCCCAAGGCTACACCAGAACAGCCGTACTCCTTGCGCCCTTTGGCCTGCTTCCCTTCTTTTGGGGCCCAAGCTTCCCTACCCCCTCGACACAGAGCCAGCACCGACCCCCCCCACCAGGAGGCCTCCATCCCCTCTCCAGGTTTTCAGCTTTGACCCTTCAGGGAGGAAGGAAAACAATGGGATATTCATTAAGCACCTACTACGTGCCAGGACAGGTTGCAGGCACCTTACAGAAGCCCACTTCCCCGCTCTAGGCTGGTAGGCGTGTGCCCATTTCACAGTGCAGGGAGATCAAGTCACTTGTCTGGGTCATCCAGGAAGGAAGGGGTGGAGTTGGGATGTGACTCCTGCCCTGGTCCCGCTGGAGAAATCTTTGGTCCCCTCCTCAGGACAGCTGAAGAAGCCAGCTGCTCGGATGGCCATCTGCCTTCGTCCCTGAGTCACTACCATGCCACCAGCCCCCGTTCATCCACCTCTGCCCTGAGCGGGGACCGGAGCACTGACTCACGTGGGCAAACATGCTTTCTCTCTTACACACACACACACACACACTCCAATGCAGGGAACCCCTCTCGACCGCAGGCCATCACCCTCTGACCTCAGCTCTGAGATGGTTTCCCAGGTGACCACCAGGAATCTCAGAACAAGCCAGTCTTCTGCAGCAGGTGGGGACATTCAGCACCCAAGCCCCGGCTCTGCCCAGAACTGCCTGTGTCACTGGGCTCCTGAGAGGGCCCATCCTCAGGCTGGCAGCTCAGCAGGCAGGAGTAGGGGCAGCAAAGGCTCAAAGGTAGGGGTCTGTGAGCAGGGAAGGCTGGCACAGCTGCGGATCAGCTGTGCCAAGTGCTAAAGGGATGCATGGGAGCGAATGAAAACGGGGATAAGGCCCAGAAGTGGGGGCAGGATTGAGGCACGGCAGCTCAGGGCTACCAGAAACCTTAGACATCATCTCAGATGACCCCCCCATTTAGTGGGGGAAAGTCAGGGGCAAAAGTGGAAATGTTCTTTCATTCATTCAACAAACGTACTGAGCACCTGCTGCTGTGGGT